TTCTATTAAATATCTAATATTTCATACATACAGGGTGTTTCCAAATGACACTTACAACGTTTGACTGTAGATACTTCTCGAAAAATTGAACAAAACGATATAGTTAATGAGGGGTCAAACTTATTTACTTTTCGAGATACAGGGTGTTAAAATTAAAAAAAATTAAATTCTTTTAGTTAATAACAACAATAACTTTAAAACCAATAAACGTATTTACTTGAAATTTAGTACTCGTAGGTTGTTTTTAAATGAAAAATAGCTTCCTTTAGTGAGAAAAAATTGTCCATGGTACAATACAATGGTGTGTATTTAGAAAAATTTTTCACCTTTACTTTTTTTTATGAAGTCAGCTATTCTAAAACACAATTATTTTTATTGTAATTGAATTAACAAAAAAAAAACTTTTGTTGAATTTTAAAATAAGTTATATGATGTACTAATGGTTAGTAACAAAAACTAATTTGTGGATTAATACTGCATTTAAAACACTTAGCGAGTGTTTTTTTTTCCAAACCAGTTATTTGATTAACCAAAAACACCTTGTATATTTTTATATTTTAAAGGTTGGGTTAAAATAAAGGTTTTTATTTTTATTTATAGATAGCATGTGAGAAGAAATTTCAGATAGACCAACATGTGAGAACTGCTTCACACATTGCAAAAAAAGGAAAAATAGGAGGAAAACATCAAACTTCAATGGCTAAATGTTTCCAATCTACTTCAAAAAAATTAGATGAGCAAGAAACTTTTAATGAAGACTTGTGTCGCGCATTAGTGTCTGCAAACATACCGCTTTCAAAATTAGCAAATGTAAATTTTAGTTCGTTTCTAAAAAAATATTGCAAACTTAATGTTCCAAGTGATCGGTCTCTAAGAAGAAATAATGTGAACGGGCTATACTCGTCGGTGTTAATTAATATTAAGGAAGAAATTGCAGATAATTATTTTTACATATCTGTAGACGAAACCACTGATTCCTCAGGAAAGTATATTGCTCATTTATTGATTGGTGTTCTTAAAGAAGATACCTTACCAAAATCTCATCTTATTTCATGCCAGCAACTTGAGAAAACAAATGCTTTAACAATTTCGCGTTTTATACAAGAAACATTAGCAACTTTTTTTCTTCCGACAACTATTCCTTCTAATAAATTACTGCTTATTTTATCGGATGCTGCTCCTTATATGGTGAAAGCAGGACAAAATTTAAAAATATTTTTCCCAGATTTAATACATGTTACTTGTGTAGCGCATGGATTAAACAGAGTTGCAGAGGAAATACGAAAAAAGTTTCCTCTTGTAAATACCATGATATCCAGTGTCAAAAAAGTATTTCTTAAATCTCCTATAAGAATTCAACTTTATAAAGAAATGCTACCTAACATTCCTCTTCCACCACAACCTATTTTAACGCGATGGGGAACATGGTTAGAAGCAGCTAATTTTTATGCAGATCATTTTGTTAAAATAAAGAACATAATTGATACGTTAACAGATGAAAGTTCCCAATCTCTTTTGGATTCTAAACAAACTTTTCAGAGTAACTTGCTTCAACAAGAACTTTCATTTATAAAATCAAATTTTAGTTTTGTTCAAAAAACAATTACTCAGTTAGAATCACCAAAACTGTCATTGTTCGAAAGTACAGCATTAATAAAAGAATTTGCGTCATGTTGTCGGAACGTTAGAGGTAATATTGGAAAAGATATTTTAAAAAAATTTGAAGCTACTATGGAAAAAAATAAAGGTTACCATATTCTTTCTGAAGTAGTCAGTGTTCTAGCTGGAAATATTTCGGAAACAATTAATTTAGAACCAAATGTTTTGGTTAGTTTGAAAAATGCTCCCGTTACATCAGTTGATGTTGAACGAAGTTTTTCCATATATAAATATATGTACTCAGACAGAAGCCACAAGTTTTTGTTAGAAAATTTTGAACACCACTTGGTCATTTATTGTTACCATAATTCTAAATAAGTTTATTCATACTTAAAAATGATGTAGTTACTTAAAATAAATGTAAATCTTAATGAATAGTAGGAAATATTTAGTTATGTACACTTTTTTTTTTAAATAAAATTGTTACTATTTTACGATTTTTTTATTTATTTGTATGCATATTTTGTAAAATATTTGCATATTTTCGGGTAAACACGTGCATATTTATGCGCATATTTTCTACATTTTTATTTGCATATTTACCGAAGTCTAGTTATTACCTTTGTGCACATATGACGATAGATGAAACTTGCTGAGCAAACCAGCAAAGTCTGGAATAAAAGCGTTTATATTATGCGATTTCTTGAAGTAATCATCTGGAAGGGCCATATCAAAAATCAAGTTCATATAGTTCATCGCTTATTAGAACCATTAAGAGGTAAAAATTGAAACCTAACTTGTATACTAGTTATCCGTTGGCCAAGGAACTTCTTACCGTAAGGGTAATATTTCTCTTATTTCTTCTATTATTATTTCGTTTTGGTTTGGATTCTCAGATGGGTTTTCTTCAGTGTTGTCTATTTCATTATTATAGTCTTTTTGAGTCAGAAGGTCTTCGAAATATTCTCTCCACCTATTCATAATACTTTCTTTCTCGCAAAGGATGTGGTCATCTTTGTTTTTAATTTTGTTTTGGTGTTTGTTGTCTGTTCTCTGTTCTTAGGCTTCTTAGAGTTTTGTAAAATAGTTTTTGATTAGTGTGGTAGTATTTCTCCAGCTTATTCCCAAAATCCTCCAGCTCTTTTTTTTGCTTCAATCACCATGTCTTTTACTTTTGCAATTGTTGTTTATATTTTTGATAGCTTGTTGCATTCTGGTATCCTAGATATTTCTTCCACGCTAACTTCTTGGATTTGACCTCTTCTTTTATTTCATTACTCTACCAATTCGTACATTGTCTGTTTTTATTGATTTTAGCTATTCCGCAGATTTGCTTGCCCTAATCCGGGAGAGATTCTTTAAGTTGTTTTTAAGTTTCCTCTAAGTCATAGTTCTGGTTTAAGTGCTTTTGTAGACTATTGTTCACATAGCTTTTGTATTTCTGTGTTATTTTCTTTTCTGCTAACTTGTATGACCTAATAACTGCGTTGGTGAGGTTTCTTGGGGTTCTGTCTTTTTTCTTGGTTTCTTCTGCGTGCGTTTTTGTTCCACACCGATACTAACTCGGGATACTACCAGATAATGGTCGCTATATATTTCTGCTCCCCTTCTGACTCTGACATCTTTGATACACTGTCTTAAGGGTCTGTTTACCAATACATAGTCAATAATGGACTTTTCTTTTCTGCTCTTGTCTTCTCTGGTATATTTGTGCACATCTTTGTGTTGAAAAAACGAATTCATAATTATCAGGTCATTCTCTTTACAAAAGAAACATACATTAATATCTCTTAAATAAGAAACTTAAATATATAAAAAATCTTAACAGAGAGAAATAATTCAGAGCATTTTATAAGAAAGTTAACATTAACAGAAAAGAATTTAAGGCAACCACAAGACAATGCAGAAGTCAGAATGGCAACCTACTAACAACAATGAAAGATGTGCTGAATAGATGAATGGAATAGTTTCACCAGGCACTTAATATGGAGGAAAAAGAAGAAAACCTGGAAGACGAGGTAAGGGGAACAGATGAGAGGGAAGAGGAACCACAAACGATTCTTAAAGGTAAAGATGCAGTTAAAAAACTAGCCAGAAACAAATCACCTGGAATAAATAATATTCCAGCTGAACTATATAAAAAAAGGTAGCCACAATACCATAATGACATTATAGCACTTACAAAAGAAATATGAACACAGAAATTTCTCCCCAATGATTTCAATATTGGAATACTTTGCACCATACACAAAAAAGAAGAAATCTTTGAATGCTCTAATCAGAGAGGAATTAAGCTTCTAAATGCAGCGTATACAATATTTTTCACAGTACTATGTTACCGTATGGCACCAAATTCAGAACGAATAGTAGAAAAATACCAGGCTGGTTTCAGAGGAAATAAATCGACAATTCATCAGGTTACAACCTTGAAACAAATTAAAAAAAAAACATTATGACATTAATACTTATCACCTATGTATAGACAGCAAAGCAGCTTACAACTCTGTGAGTAAAAGAGAAAGGTTCAAACAATAAAAGAGTTAGGAATACCAAACCAGTTGGTAAATTTAACAAAACTAACTCTCGAAAAAGTTGAATGTAGAGTACGAATTCAGGGGGAACTGTACGAACTTTTTAAAACAAATAACCGAACAAATAACAATATTATTGGGAGAACGTAATACACTATAGAAGAGGTGTATGTAGCATTAAACAAATCAGCTACAAAAATGGGTTTAGTAATAAATACCAACAAAATAAAGTATATGAAAATAAGCACGCAACTACAAACACTACGATCACTTGTTATAGAAAATGATGTCATCAAAGCAGTGAACGAATTTGTATAACTGGAAGATGTATTATGCATGCCTTTATTTTTTTTTAAGTTTACTTTTATGCTTTGGAGAAATCTAGGGCTTTTTAATATGATGTTCTTTTTGGATTTTGTATCGCAATGATTGTATTTCTTCCTATGTTGAGCTTAATAGTTCTTCTTATTTTTTTCACAATATTTTCGAAGCGTTAATCCTAATGTTTTTTAGATCTTGTTCCATAAATTATGCAAGAAGCATTGTGTATTCTATGCATTTTCCTTAGTCGTAAAACCATCCAAACAAATTAAAGCCAAATTAATATGTACTTAAAAGATTTGGTGTAGAAAATAATGTATAATTATGTAAATTATGGTTTCATAAACCTTTACTATTATTAAATAACAACAATTTTTAATATATGTAAAAAATAATAGGAAAATACAAGATATAAATATTTTAATAACTTTAAAGCAGTAACTAATTTTAGAGCAGCCGATAGAGCTATTTTTAAAACCAATGAAGTTGAAGTAAATAAAACTTCACTCCAAATTCCCTGGAGTACGGTTTCTAGCTATTTCCACTTACCTATAAGATCGATAATGACTATCGGATCCTCGCTGTATTTCTTATTTTTCCTATTGTTGAAATCCGGTTCTCCTAATAAAAAAGCTGCGACGTAAGGTGTAAAAATGGCGGTGTAGATGACCAGAATGAGAATTATCCAGTCCCAGACGGCTTTGAAGGGAGAGTAATGAAGAATTGTGTAGTTGTGTATTCGCGGGTTTTGAAGTTTGTACTCAGGTAGGACGTCAGCGCCCAGTGAGAGTACCTGAAACAAAAATAAAAGCTTTAGTTTTCAAAAGCATTCATTTAATTATTATTTTGCGTGCTATAATATAATTATTCTTCTGACATAACAAATAAATAAAAACAAGGTAGTTTATCGAAACATTCTTCTTTAGAATATATATTGCCCTTGGTTTCCTGATTTTACAAAACTGTTTATGCAAATTGTATATCTCAGTGACATTAGTGTTACACCAAAAAGAAATATTTTCTTGAACTTAAATATTTGGCAACATTATACATTTACATCAAGAATGAAACTGTAACGTCGACAAGAATTTTTATTAACGTACAAAAAAATAGATAAGGCAGTAAGTGGTATGTAAGAAGTCATCAATATAACGCAAAGCTGCCCTGAATAAACACAAGTGGTGGTCAGTTACCATAGCCAATAGCCCCCCAAACAATTACTCCAACTGTCCTGTGTACATGTCTGTCAACAGCAAACCCAAATGTCCCGTCGCTCACCATGGCGGCGTTTCACCATCCTACGACAATCAATAATTTCTAAACAAAATCGCGATTCATCGCTGAATGCTACATTATGCTATTCTGCCACCCAATGCTGCCATTCTCTGCATTAATTCAAACGTTGATGACAGTGGTTCGCAGTCAAAGGAAGCATGTGTCGTGGACTGAATGAAACCAGTCCAATGGCTTGAATGCGACGGTATAGTGTACGCAAAGTAAGTAAGTACCTTCTACTCAAAACCATTGGTCAGCTATTTGACGAGTAGTAGCAAAACGGTCTTGCAGAGTCAGTAGTCTAAAGCGCCTACCTTGACGCTCTGTGGTACGTCTCGGTTAACCAGTTGGTCTTCTTTTTATTCCTCTATCTTTGTTTTTCCACACACGATATACACGCACAACCGTTCTTGCCGTATAATTAACACGACCGACGACAATATAAATATACTAAGAAATAATAACTAAAAATTTCTGTACTAGACGATCTTCATAAATACGTCTCTTCACAAAAATATTTAACCCGGCGCCAGGATGGTCGAAAATTACAACATGTATGGTATGGTGGGGTATGAGATAGCCCGTTTGAATATTTATTATATTCTTTTTTATACTACAAAATAACCTGAATCAATGTATTATTTATATTATTAAAACAAAGTTGAGCATGAAAGGAGATTTAGTATTACAAAACATATCAGAATATGATAAAAATTTACCGATAATACTAGAGTAATCTTAACTTGGACACTAAACGTATATAAAAGCTCCTTGTAACATAAAAACTCTAATCTTATCTAAATCTAATCTGCGTCACTTATTTTACATTTGATACATATTTGCTCTGAATGTTCCATGCAAACCCACTGCTCACAAGCAGAACAAGTTAGATAAGATTTTCTATCTTTTGACCGTGGACAGATACAACATCTTCCCATTCCTTTTCTTTGGACGTTGATGGCTGAGGTTTATCTTCGTTCTTGCGCTTCTTTGATGATGTTATTATTTTCTTTCTCAACACTCTGGGTAATTTTGAATTTTCTTTCCTCTCATGAAGGTGGTCTGTAATCAAAGATAGTCCCAACTCTTTCAAGAAAAAACGTCGCTTCATCCGTTTATCCACAGGATTGGTTGCATTAAAAGTTACCATAGCATTAATTCCAGCGGTATTCAGCAATGAATAAAACATGGCTAGCGGCCATCTCCTAGTATTTCTACTCACACTATAGGTACCACTAAGCTCGTCCACCACGTCTACTCCTCCTTTAGTAAAGTTGTAAAAACTAATCATCTCTGGTTTTTTAGCTTCGCCAGTGGCTGGATCTATTTTGTCATCATGATGGAGGAAAGAAAGAAGTAAAACATTCTTTCCTCTCCGAGGGATGTATGACAGCAATGTTACATCATGCGTAAAACAGAATAGTGAACTCCGTTCAGGTCTCTTCTTTGTCTGAACAAAGGCAGGAGGAAGCTCCCTTTTATTTTCACGTAAGGTGCAGACAGATGTCAATCGATGCTTTTTTAGTAATGTGTATAGCAGAGGACAACTGGCAAACCAATTGTCAAGAGTAACGTTTCTGGCAGTGCCACTTATGAGTGCTATTAATCTAACAACAATGTCTTCTGGTTTGTTACTTATTTGAAACGGACCTTCGGGTTGTTTTCCGAGGTATGCCTCCATATTAAACAGGTAAAATGTTCTCGCATCTACAACGGCAAAAATTTTCAAGCCGTATTTTGCCGGTTTATTTGGCATGTATTGCTTGAACGGGCATCGCCCGCGGAAAGGACTCCAGTTTTCGTCTATAGTGACGTATTCTCCAGGAATGTAGTAAGCTTTGCAATTTTCGATAAAAAGATCAAACATTACTCGAAAAGGGGCAAATTTATCTAACTGGCGTCTTTCATTTCTGGACTCTTTATTATCAAATCGCATGGAAGATATAATGAACATTAAACGTTTCAGTGACATGGTTGTTCTAAAATACCTACGCCTAAGCCATCAGTACTCCATAAATCTTCTAAATTCATACTATCGGCACGAAATACACCAGCCAAATACAGGAGTCCAAGCACCGCCTTCATTTCTTGTATTGTTGTTGGTTTTACGAGGTATTGCATATTCTTGTTATAAGCTGTTGCTTTCTGACCCATATTCAGATTCGTATACTTTACAATATCTGCCAACATCATATCGTTCAAAAATAAATTAAAACACTCAAGAGGAGTTTTCGCATTTCGAGCAACGCCCTTTGGTCCCGGAAGATGGCTTACGATATTCTCGCGTCGTGTGCGTACTTTGAGGTTACCACAAGATTTTGACCACTTAGTTTTTCCATCACGTCCTATAAAATATTCTCTTGTATTTGAGGATTCATCGTCTATTGCTGAGTTAGTGGATCTGTTTTCTGTCATTGCTTCAGGCACTACTGGATCCACAATTTCAGAATCTGATTCTGACATTGAATTTTCGCTGATATGATCGGGAAGTTCTTCCTCAGATTCTGAATCAATAGCGTGTTCATCTTGCGATTCTTCCAACAATTGCAGGAGCCTTCTTTGTTCTTGTTCATAAGACATTCTGTAATAAAATATCACTAAAACCCTGCAAATATACAATAAATTTCAATACATTACCTTAAAAAATATATAATACTACCGGTATGGTGGGGTATACAACACCCCAACGCTGTTTACACGAAAATATTTTACTACTGCTTCACTCGACGGTCGCGAACAAACTGCTGAAGACAGTATAGAACCAATATAACCATAGAGAAATTAAAAAGAGGTTTATTATTTATTTCTCTTATTTTTATTTCTCTTATTTTTCTGCTTATTTTTATTTCTCTATAATATAACCTAACTCGAAGGTAGGCGGGGTTTACCCCACAATACCGTCGCCGGGTTAAGGATAAAACATTATTTTTACAAAAAGTATAAAAGATAAAATATTACAAAATTAATGGGAAAAACCCCGTAATTGGCTGTATACCATCGTTTAAAAAACACAGAAGTTAAAACACTTCACAAATGTGTATTTAGGTATAAAACAAACAAGTTAAAACTTTTTAAAAAAGTGTCGTCACATTTAAAGTTCTGGCAGAACGTTTTCGATCACTACGGATCATCTTCAGTGCATAGTATTTGTTGCTAACAATATGACTTCCATGTTTGGGTTGGTAAAGTGTCACATTTTACATTTTACATTTAATGTTGATACTGTAGGTCGATGACAATGGATGTATTTAAAATTAAAAATTTACTTTAGGGACTACATGTCTCCTAAGCTCGAATACTTGCACGTTGTCAGTTGAAGCGACGACACAGACCAAACGGCTGATGTCACAGGAGATAACTTAAAGACAGCTAAACCTGACAGGATTTCAGTATGTTCCGAAATTAATGTAATTTTTAATTTGTGAAATTATAAAATTTGTTTACTTGTAGTAATGAATAATAACTTATTAATGAACCTGACATACCTAAATACACATTTGTGAAGTGTTTTAACTTCTGTGTTTTTTTATAAAATATTAATATTGTTATTATAACATGCTTTATATATAGTCATTTTTTGCCAAAAAATTACAGTCAAGAAATTATTCCATCTGAGCTTAACACTTCTAATGTCACTGAGCATATTTAGATTTATTATTTATGTGATTGTCTGTTCACACTGTATAACTCCAAATTGCTACTTCTGTAATCGTTTTACTTTTAAATATTGAATAACAGTGTGCTTTGTGCTTTATCGGCATTTCCACGAATCTATTTTCTGATTTGCCACCGGTAGAGGATAAGGGGTTCTTTGTTCTTTGTGTAACCTATTTTTATTCATTGTACTATCGTCATTCAGACAGAAACATTTAAAGTATATACATACTTTGAGTCATTAAAATAAAAGAATTTATTTTAATGAAGTATTAGTTTTTTATTAACAATTTAAAAAGTGTTTTAAATTACAAAGAAGTGTGTTACATACAAGAACATATATTAGAAAAAATGATAAACCTAATAGAGGTTAGATACTGATTGTATCAAATATTGTATCATTGTACCAAAATACAAACAGTAAATTACTGTTTGTATTTTGAGAACGATTTCCGAAGTGGAAATTGAAACGTCAATAAACGTTATTTTTATCTTTAATTGTGGCTTATTCCCGTTTAATAGTAATTAATTCATAATGCCACAAGAAAATAGCTTCAAAACAATATTAAGTACAAAATGGTCACAAATCCATTAACAGTTTTTTCGATAAAATGTATACTTTTTGAGTTATTCGGGAAAAATAAATTAACAATACAAGAAAAATTAAAATTTTCATAAAGAATAAGTGCCAAAGGTATTGATTTTTCGAAAAAACTACGAATATGTTTTGCTTCGAATAGATTTTTCTATCGATTCTTGATGTTATTTTCAATGTAAAGATAGCAACCTCCAGGTATTCCTACTTACTGTTAAAATTTCAAAAAAACAGATGCATATTCATGGAATTCGAAGTCAAAAACGTTG